AGAGCAGTCCCTGGGGCCCAACTTATCCCTTCAACAACTGTTTTCTGCCACTCCAAGCCTTGCCTATCTCCCAGTCCCTCCAATCAGTCACTTGTCTCTCTCCTGACTCATTCTATCTCTATCTGATTTCATCCCCCGGCTCCTATCCCTGAATTTGGTGCATATAGTCTTTCATCATTTAACGACTCTATATAGACTTCTATTATTGATAGCCCCAGCATTTTCCTACGCTTCTTCCACCCCCACCCCCTCTGGCTTCATCCTTTTTTATGTTTTCAGATTAAAGCCCAGCCCCTTTGTAACCTAACTCGAAAACATCAGTCAAAACTAGTTCAACAAAGCATTATATTACTGAAAGATGGGGAACAACTGATATGACAAATTTTGCACAGAGATGGCTGTTTTCCACAAACCACAAGGATATAGGTACTTTACACCTAATCTTTGGTGCAATTGCTGCAGTAATGGGCACGTGCTTCTCTGTACTATTCAGCCGTAACAAGTGCTCTCCGAACCGTGCGAGATGGTCGCCCATCACACGGCTCTCCAACCTGAGTAACCTTTGTTATCCTCCCCCCCCCCCCACTTTCTAACCTTCCACCGTTCACGAACTTATGGTACAGACCGGCCATTGTCATGATACTCTATCCCCCTCCGTCTAGTCATTCTCTTCTTCTCCCTCTGCATCAGTCCGTGGTAGATGACGCATCAGGCCAGGGCCCAGCTGCATCTGGCCTATCCGAGTGTGTGTCGGGTAAGCAATTGCGGGTAGGGTTCCCATCGCGCCCAAAAGCTCCCCCTCCTGCCGTTCTTTATGCTTGCAGCGCTGCCAATCTGCGAAAAGGGCAAATTCTAATGTATCCCATCGCCCTTTCTTGGTACGCCCGCAGTGGTGGTGGAGTTTGCTGCCTATATCGCTCATTCCTCCGCAGTGCCCAGAGCACTGCTGCCCTAATGATGTCTAAAGCCAACCGCTCCTCCGACTGTGATCTGTCCACCCTCATCAGAGCCCCCAGAATGATAATTGCATCATCCGTCTCTGTGACCCCCCAAGGGGGGTTTTGTCCGCCATTTCCTGCGTCCAGCATTCCCAGAAGGTCCTGACTACCACCGGGCACCTCACAAAGAGGTGCGGAATGGGGCCTCCGCCTGGCCGCATCCTGCTGCCCATAGCTGGTCCTTGCGTTGACTCCTTGCTGCAAGCCATTGTGCTGTGGGGACCACCAGATGGTATAGTTGACACAGCAGGCCTGCCTCCGTTTCTGCCCTCTGGTGGGGCAGGCAAAATAGCATTTTGTTAGTTCCATCTACGCTGAGTCCATCTATTGACATATATATACATCTGGGATCCAATCCCTCTTAGCCGATCGATTTTTCAATTCACCGCATATATCCACCGGATCCAACATTTGGAGTTAAGTTCTTCGTGGTAAGATTCCGGTATTTTGCATCCTTCAGGCCGACGACTGCCATTCCCCCTGGGTCCCACACCAGATCGCTGTGTCACTTCGAAGTGGCTTCTGTGTACCATTATGCTTTTGTTATGTTAAATGGGTTAACCATATTTGTTATACCATCGTAGGTCTTTGGGACTTCTTGGAGTGCCAGCCCCTCCGGTTCTCATCATAGCATACTTTGTTAACACTGAATATTGGCACCTCTGCCTGCTCGTCCGTTAATGTTTGGATACCTTCCGGCGCCCACCGTAAGACAATATAAGGCAGATGCAACACTCCCCCTCGTCGAGAATTGCTTTTAGACCTGTGTCTCAGCTTGCTCTTGTCTTGCCAGCTCTGTCAGCGGATCCTGCTGTCGCATGTCCTTCCCACCCCCTCTTCTTCCTACACTTCCTCGGTTAGCCTGTTCCACGCCCCCTTCTTCCCCCTTCCAATTGCTGATCGTCCTCCTGCCCCTCCCTCCCCACCTCATCACTCACCTCCGGCCACTCGTCTGTCTGCTGGCCCAACGCATGATCGGTCTCAGATTCCGATGTGTACGACGTATCCGTTTGACCCAAAAGTTTCCTGTCGCCCGTGGTCACTTGCGCTCGTCGACAATCCTTCCGCCGGCATACCATAGCTTGCATCCTTCGGGATAGGGCAGGGTGATGGTGAAGTGTCCCCACAACCGGGCTTTCTGAGCCAAAACCTCGGTCCAAATGCCTCTCCCAATGTGAAGCACTCTCTCTCCTGCAGATAGGCCTGGTGTTCTGAATGTTGCGAGGAGTATGTGGAGGGAACAGGGAAGCATTCCGCCGAGGAAGAGCTCTGCGGCGGTTCCTTCGTCATTTGTTTAGCACCCTGTTCCCCCCCCCCCCCCCCCCYCCCCCTTGCGGCAGCCGACATTGTTTGTGTCGCTCGAGAACGATAGGTGGTTATCATACGTCGGCCTCCCCGGGGCCTGGGACGTTCCGGATTCATTCGAGGTGGCTTCTTGATTCCCTTGGTCTATTCCCTCCTCTGGCTTTCCCACCCTCCATACAACTTCATCGATCTGATTGGCTTCTTGCTTCCCTTGGTCTATTCCCTCCTCTGGCTTTCCCACCCTCCATACAACTTCATCGATCTGATCCTTCCACCCCCCCTCCGGGCCCGCCCACCTTCCATTAAACCATCAGTACGTCCTAAAGTTGTGCCTGTTATTAACAAGCCACAATTTTAGGAAACGCACCGGTCACTACAGGAGCGCCCGAATTCATCCGACTAGAAATGTTTCTACTCTATTTTTCCCCGCGGCCGATAGCTGGGCCAAGTACTGGTGGCTTAATGCCCGCTGCGCCTTGTCCTGGGCTTGCTCCCCCTCCTTCCTGTGTTTGTCTCCTTCTCCTCCCCCACTCCCCCATCCTTCGCCCATACCCCCCCCCCCTTTCCTCCAATCCCCAAACTGCTTCCCAAGTTCTTCGTTTTCCCCTCCGCTGTCCCCTCCTCCCCTTGTGTTATTGCGATCCCGGTATCAGGCCTTTCCTCCCATCTGTTTCGCTTGGCGACTGCTAATTGTTCCCCTATCCCCTTCTTCCCCCTCCCTCTTTGCCCCTCCTTCACCCCCTGTACCAGTTCCTCAGGTGGGGCCTGCGGCTTATAGACTGATCGTTTCTCCTGTCCATTCTCGTCATTCTTCTTCTCTGCCTGCCTTTCCGGCTGGCTCCCGTCCTCCCTTTCTGCGCTTTGTTGCTCCCGTCCGGGCAGCTTCACGCCTCTCTCCTCCCTCGTGGCTTGCTCCGCCTTCCTTTTCCGCTCCTTGCTAAACAGCCAATAAGGCTCATCGGTCTGCATGGGGTCATCCACTCCCCCTGCCCATCGGACGTTACGGCGGCGACATCCGCCTCCCCTCCTTACCTTCCTTCCTGCCCTTCTGGCCTGCCGCTCTTGCCCTGGCCTCGGTACCCCGTTCTTGCGCTCTCGCCCCTGCCTCCTGCTCCTGCAGCACCAACCCATCATCCATTTGAAATCTCCCAAGTTTCGCCATGCCATCCTTTCCATCTGGGGGTTGGACTGTAAGACCGGGTCCATTGCATCCTCGCCTCTCTCCCTTGAATCGCTTGCAAAGTTTCAGCCCTTGTGAGGCAGTGGCCATGTAGCCCCGAATGGCCACGAGTGAAGCCTTCCAGAAGCTCTGTTTTTTTCCTTCTTCTGAAAGTCGTATCTTGCCCACGAGCTCCATTTTGAGAACTGCGCAGAAAAATCTTTTGCAGGGAGTGGGCAGGTGTTATGTGTGTGGATCTTCTGAAGCCGTGCCGTCACTCTTTTTTTTTCCGACGGGATCTCCGTCCTCAATTGAAGGCGTCTGAACCACCACGGGATCTTCCGACGAAGACCTTGAAACAACCCCACTAAGGACTGAGGAGGAAATGGGACAGTTTTGTGAGGCTGAAGCTCCAAGCGTCCAACCCAATTACAGTCTTACCTACCGGTGGGCCCGTGGCATAAAAGGAAACAGATTTTTGCTACCAGAATTCGTTCCGACATGTTATGTTTTCTTTCTCTCTCTTTTGCTACCAAAATTTGTAACCAAAAGA